TGTGAGTGTGACTGTGTGTGTGTGCATGTGTGTGTGCACGTGTGTGTGAGTGAGTGTGTATGAGTGTGTGTGCGTGTGTCTGTGTGTGAGTGCATGAGTGTGTGTGACCGTGTGTGTGTGTACATGTGTATGTGTGTGCACGTGTGTATGAGTGTGTGGGTGTGTCTGAGTCTGTGTGTGTGCACGTGTGTGTGTGTGTATGAGTGTGTCTCTGTGTGAGTGCATATGAGTGTGTGTGAGTGGTGTGTGACTGCATGTGTGCATGTGTGTATGTGTGTGTGCGAGTGTGTGTATGAGTGTGTCTGTGTGTGCGTGTCTGTGTGTGTGAGTGCATGCGTGTGTGAGTGTGACCATGTGTGTGTGTGTGCATGTGTATGTGCGTGTGCACGTGTGTGTATGAGTGTTTGGGTGTGTCTATGAGTGTGTATGTGAGTGTGTATGTGTGTCTGTGTGTGTGAATGCATGAGTGTGTGAGTGGTGTGTGTGACTGCGTGTGTGCATGTGTGTGTGTGCACGTGTGTGTGTGTATGAGTGTGTCTGTGTGTGTGCGAGTGCATATGAGTGTGTGACCGTGTGCATGTGTGTACATGTGTATGTGTGTGCACGTGTCTATGAGTGTGTGTGGGTGTGTCTATGAGTGTGTGTGAGTGTGAGAGTGTGAGTGTGTGTATGAGTGTGTCTGTGTGAGTGCATATGAGTGTGTGTGAGTGGTGTGAGTGTGACTGCATGTGTGCATGTGTGTATGTGTGTGCACGTGTGTGTGAGTGTGAGTGTGTATGAGTGTGTCTGTGTGTGCGTGTCTGTGTGTGAGTGCATGAATGTGTCACCATGTGTGTGTGAGTGTGTGCATGTGTATGTGCGTGTGCACGTGTGTGTATGAGTGTGTGGGTGTGTCTGAGTGTGTATGTGCGTGTGTGTGAGTGTGTGTGTGAGGGTGTGTGAGTGTGTCTGTGTGTGCACATGTGTCTGAGTGTGTCTGTGAGTGCATATGAGTGTGTGTGTGACCGTGTGCGTGTGTGCATGTGTGCACGTGTGTGTGCACGTGTGTGTATGAGTGTGTGGGTGTCTATGAGTGTGTGTATGAGTGTGTGTGTGTGTCTGTGTCTGTGAGTGTGAGTGCATATGAGTGTGAGTGGTGTGAGTGTGACTGTGCGTGTGTGTGCATGTGTGTATGTGTGTGTGCACGTGCACGTGCGCACGTGTGTGTGAGTGTGTGTGGGTGTGTCTGTGTGTGCGCATGTGTCTGTGTGAGTGTGTATGAGTGTGAGTGTGTGTGTGTGTGAGAGAGTGTGTGTGTGTGTAGCAGAGCTGAGGCCAGTGTGTTTAGAAGGTGATGAGGTGGGAGTGGGCCTAGAGGGACATCAGAGGTGGGAGACGGAAGCGGAAGCTAGACCCTTCCAGGCCGTCAGCGCTATGTGTGTGTGTGTGTGTGTCTGTGTGTGCGTGTCTGTGTGTGTGTGAGTGCATGAGTGTGAGTGTGACCATGTGTGTGTGAGTGTGTGCATGTGTATGTGCGTGTGCACGTGTGTGTATGAGTGTGTGGGTGTGTCTATGAGTGTGTATGTGAGTGTGTATGAGTGTCTGTGTGTGAGTGCATGAGTGTGTGAGTGGTGTGTGAGTGTGATTGCGTGTGTGCATGTGTGTGTGCACGTGTGTATGAGTGTGTCTGTGTGTGCGTGTGAGTGCATATGAGTGTGTGTGACCGTGTGCATGTGAGTGTGTACATGTGTATGTGTGTGCACGTGTGTATGAGTGTGTGTGGGTGTGTCTATGAGTGTGTGTGTGAGTGAGAGTGTGAGTGTGTGTATGAGTGTGTCTGTGTGAGTGCATATGAGTGTGTGTGAGTGGTGTGAGTGTGACTGCGTGTGTGCATGTGTGTATGTGTGTGTGCACGTGTGTGTGAGTGTGAGTGTGTATGAGTGTGTCTGTGTGTGCGTGTCTGTGTGTGAGTGCATGAGTGTGTGTGACCATGTGTGTGTGTGGGCATGTGTATGTGCGTGTGCACGTGTGTGTATGAGTGTGTGGGTGTGTCTGAGTGTGTATGTGCGTGTGTATGAGTGTGTGAGAGTGTGAGTGTGTCTGTGTGTGCACGTGTGTCTGAGTGTGTCTGTGTGAGTGCATGAGTGTGTGTGTGTGACCGTGTGCGTGTGTGTGCATGTGTGCACGTGTGTGTGCACGTGTGTGTATGAGTGTGTGGGTGTCTATGAGTGTGTGTATGAGAGTGTGTGTGTGTGTCTGTGTCTGAGTGTGAGTGCATATGAGTGTGAGTGGTGTGAGTGTGACTGCGTGTGTGTGCATGTGTGTATGTGTGTGTGCACGTGCACGTGCGCACGTGTGTGTGTGTGGGTGTGTCTGTGTGTGCGCATGTGTCTGTGTGAGTGTGTATGAGTGTGAGTGTGTGTGTGTGAGAGTGTGTGTGTGTGTAGCAGAGCTGAGGCCAGTGTGTTTAGAAGGTGATGAGGTGGGAGTGGGCCTAGAGGGACATCAGAGGTGGGAGACGGAAGCGGAAGCTAGACCCTTCCAGGCCGTCAGCGCTAATAATGGATGGAGAGGATGGGGCAAGAGTAGACCGGGAAGCTGAGAACAGAGATACAGTAGTAATACAATAGATACTGTCATCATGGGGATTTATGAGGCTTCATTAAAGCAATAAAGTAAAATCCAACTGAGGAGTCTTCATTGAGCCAGGGATTCTGTTTTAATGTTTGCCGAATTATGACTCATATATGGTGGGATAAATAAGGGGCAGCTGTGGTACGGACTAGGAAAGTACGTGCACGCTTAGTCGCTCGGTCGTGTCTGACTCTTTGCGACCCCTTGGACTGTAGCCCTCCAGGCTCCTCTGTTCAAGTGGATCTCCAGGCAAGAATATTGGAGTGGATTGCCATGCCCTCCTCCAGGGGATCTTCCCAAGCCAGGGATCGAAGCCAGGTCTCCTGCATCGCAGGTGGATTCGTTCCCGTCTAAGCCACTAGGGAAGCCCCTGGACTAGAAGAGGAACGAAGTGAAACTACCTGTCCTTTGGCCTGCAGTACAAAGTCAAGATTAGCCCAGAGGTCTTTTCCCAGGCATTCAATTGTGATCCACATCCTCTCTTTCACCGTGTGATCATGAAACATGGTGGGTGTTCATCGGAGGCTTCTGGAACACAGGTTTTAGAGGCACAGAGAACACAGGTCGTTAGGCTGGGTAACTAGTTGGCCTTCAACTGCAGAGGGGGTGTGGCCTGGGTCTCCTGTCTCCCAATGGTAGCTCCCAGGGAAAGACAGTGCTTTATTCACCTTTGTAGCCCCCACACTCCTAGCACAGTGCTTGTGGACAGTAGGAGCTGGACAGTCTGTTGACTCTGAATAAAGTATGTAGATTATATCAGTGGCACTGAAATAACACCATAGGAATTCAGGGAAAGTAGTCAGTCATCTTTGCATCTTTTGAGTCATCATCCAGTGTGTGGATTCATCATACTTCCAGTTCTATTCTTCCTTTTTTATATTTTCTACCTTTGAGTCCATGATTTCACTCCTAAAACTCCACTTTATGGAAATCATAAAGGGAGGAGATAAAACATAGGCCAACTTTACTCCTTTTTAGCAAATAACAGTTTAAAAAAATTTAATGGAGGGGACTTCCATTGTGGTTCAATAGTTGGGACTTCACCTTTCAATGCAAATGGTGTGGTTTTGATCCCTGGTAAGGAAGCTAAGATCCCATATGCCTCAGGGCCAAAAACCCAAACATAAAACAGAATCAATATTAAGAAATTTGGCCAGGATCACATGCCAGTAAGAGGGGGAGTTGGAATTCAAACCAGATTGTCTGATCCCAGGGTGGTATTGCTTACTTACTTCTCTTGGAATAATTTGGAGGCTTTCATTTGTCTTTGCTTCCTTATTTGCTCCAGAAATGTGAAAATATGCAGCCCAACAGTAGGAGCTTTATAAATAAAACATAGCTATATATTTTTAAATGATTAAAGCTGGAAAGTTTAATGTGGCACGGAGCCACTTGTTTAGTGGAAGTAAAGAGAACGCGATTCCCGGCCCTGGTTGCAAAACCCTGCGCGCTTTGCAGCGAGTGGTGTCTGGCTCGCCGCCCATCTGTGATGGTGGCGGTCCAGGGAAGACCGGTCCAGACTGCACTCAGGGAAAGACAGCGAGGGAGCTTGCACCGAAGCAAGAACGGGCCATGGATTCTTGCAGCCCAAATGTCATCTGGTTGGGAAAAGCCACACATTGGTGGTGCAGTATTTTAAGGGATATGCAATATTTTAAGCTGGGGTGAAGGCTCACTAGCCTGACAACTTGTTAAACATGAAGGAGAGGATTGTATCTTTAGATGGAATCTGAAAAACTAACACCGGAGCTCGGTGGTCGACTGAGAAGGACCGCTGTGCTTGTAGCAACATTTACAGCGACACAAGGCGAACACGAGTTACTCTCAGCACCAGGAGGCAATCGCCGCACAGATCCACCTTGTAGCTCGGATGTCGCCCTGCCCGTGGCTTCTAACCTTGGTTTACCCTTCTTAAAAATCGAGGCGCAGGCAGGCTGCACTCAGGTGGGTGAGACGCTTCCACGTGGGGGAGGGAGGGGATTAAAAAGAGGGCGGGCTGAGAAATCACCCTTCTTAAAGCCTGGGGGAAACACCGCGGGAAGCAACTCCGCAAAGACCTCAGCAGCAGCTCGCTCGAGCCCTAGTCCCTGGAAGCCTCAGCCGAACGAGGAGGCCACTGGCCGGCTCGGGCAGCCCCGCAGGACCTGCCCGCCGCAGCCTGCAGCCGGCTCTGCAGGCTGGCGAAGCTCCGGCTGCCGGGCGCGCGGGNGGGGCCGGGCCGCTTTGTCTGCTGCCCCGGCACCCCGGGCGCCGCGCGGCGGGCAGGCGGCGGGCGTTGGGCGCGGGCCCGGGCCTGGGCCGGGCGAGTCGGGGGGATGCGCGCCAGGGTAGCCCGCGCGGCGCGGGCGGGACTGACAGGTCGGACGGGCGGGCCGGGGGGCCGGGGCCAGCCCGCTCACCTTCGTAGGGGAGGAAGCCAGGTCCCCGGGAGGAAGGAATGGATTTGGTTTCCCCGCAGTCTGGTTTACGCGTAAAGAATGCAGCCATCTGGCGGCTTGCGGTCCCTGGACTTGCCCCGAAGGTGGGAAGGAAGCTTTCCGGATTGGGCTAAGGTTTTAATCTTGGGTGGGAGGCAGGGAGGATGTGCCGGGCCTTAGGAGTAGTAGTCTCCGAGAACAAAGAATTACGGAGCACCCACAAGTCGTAATCTTGCCCAGAGTACTTTAATGAGATGATTTAAGCAAGGTTAGGTAATGTATGACTTAAAAAAAAAAAAAAAAGAATAGCATCCCGCTTAACCTGCATGGACTCTACGGTTCGTGCCACGAATTGCTGGGAAGGTTTCCGCTCTCTGATACGGAAACTAATCAACAATATGAAGTGATGAGGTAACCTGATCAATGTAAGTGGCATTAACAAATAGGAATTTTATTTGTAAAGTAAAAAGTTTAACCCCAATACCTCAAAAGGCAATTATTCCTTCTTCACACTGCTCCTTTAGTTTAATTTAGGGATTGCATTGATGCAAAACTCGGGTCTTGATGCCAGAGACTGGAGGGTGGAGGAAGAGTCTGCTGCTTTTCTTGGATACAAATTTGCATTTCTTTAAACATTAAACAGATGTATGCATTCCCTTGAGCTTTCACATATATCATAACCTGGCTTTAAGAAAATATATACCATATGCGGTCATAGTGTTTTTAATATACCAAGTCTAAATATATACTGACAACTATTTGGGTGAGCGATTGTAGTGAGGTGTGCACCCCCTCCCCCAGCAAAATACATAAATGCATACAGCTCCTACATTTTAAGTATTCTGAAGATTCTCCCCCGCCCCCCCCAACCCCCTCCAGACACCCTTTGAAAAATAACACTTAAAGCTACAAGGAAGGAATTTTCTGGGCAACTATGGGTTAGAAAGAGGACGTTACCTGAAAAGAAATTAGAAATTGATTTTAAGATGATAGCAGAGTAGACAGTGCCAGCCAGTCTTGCTGCCTAGACCCTTGTAATGGCATTTTAAAATTCAATTCAGTGGTTTACAATTTTTTCTGCTATTTACTAGATTTCCTGCTTGAATGCATATCCATATTTTTTAATCCTTTAAAAATTAACACTGAAAGGGTATATTTTTGTTCCCCCTACTCTCCATTTAGTTGTTTTACTTGAGAAAAGGAGATTGTAACATTGTAATTGATGCCAGTTTATTCAGCTATTTATGCCTTACAGTGAGAATGAAGTGCTTTCCAGATGCAATTTTAGTCCAACATGGTGGTATCTTAAAATGATAAATAAAGGTCTTAATTGATTTTGCTGTTCTCTGGGCAACATTCGTCTTCTCACTATAATATGAGATGTTTAAAAGCATTACATTCTGAGATAAATTTGTTTCCCCTTTGAAAAGGTTTTGGACCCTAACTCTCACTCTAAAACAAAGAAAACCCTTACCAAAAAATTAAGTTGATAAGTCTGGGTGTTGGTATTTTAAATAGTTTAGATACGTGATGTGATTTTTTTTTTTTTTTTTTGTCTCTTGCATATTATATAATTTGGTGTGTTGTGATGAATATTTATGATGAACATGACTAAATATATGTTGGAAAAGCAATATCTCTCCCCAGTGGCATTAACTTTTTTGTAAGTTTTCCAAAATATATCTTCCAATTTAACAAACATTTATTGGGTGCTTGCATTTTGCATCATTTTATTGCTGTATATTACATTAAATAATGGCAGGTAAAATTATACATGCCTCTAAAAATTTTACTAGAAGGAAAGCCTATGGGCTATGCCCTTTTTTTTTTAAACTACTAATAGATGTTTATGTTCTAGGTTGAAATTGGGCAGAGATTAGACACCTTTTTTAGGCAGGTGTTCTTAAGTACCACTGACAACACGGTTCTCAGCGTATTTCATGACAGTAAGTATGTTTTATCATTCTGGTTGTTAATTAGATTTGAACTGTAATTAACTGAAAACAAAATTATAACTGGTTTATACTGTGGAGAAGCTAATGGCAACCCCACTCTTGCCTGGAAAATCCCATGGACTGAGGAGCCTTGCAGGGTGCAGTCCATGGGGTCGCTACAAGTCAGACACAACTGAGCGACTTCACTTTCACTTTGCACTTGCATGCACTGGAGAAGGAAATGGCAACCCACTCCAGTGTTCTTGCCTGGAGAATCCCAGGGACGGGGGAGCCTGGTGGGCTGCCGTCTGTGGGGTCGCACAGAGATGTGACTGAAGCGGCTTAGCAGCAGCAGTATACTGGAAATTCCTGCTAAAATGAGTGCCTTTCCAGGCCAGATAGTACCTCTCCCCATTCCTTTGTTCCTTCTTCTCAGTGACCTGCACGTATTAAGTATTTCCTCTGGGCTGCAGGTTTGAAAGCTGTCCCATCTCAGGTGGCTGGCTGTTTAGCTGGCAGGGCTTTAGGCAGACTGAATACTGAGAGGCAAGTTATGTGTGGAGCAGAAAATGCTGGTTCTCAGGGTAGCACAGTGAAAAGAGGAGAGGTGTGGTGGGCTGGGTAGTTGGGAATGTGACAGAAGGAGCTTGTGGGGCGGGATCTGAGCCTTGGAGGGCGAGTAGGGGTGGATACTGTCACCAGAAGTTGAACCCTGAAGGCAGGGCTGCGTGACCTCTGTTGGTGGCAGGGAAGTGGGTCTGCATGGTGCCACTGGGGACCTCACAGGGTAAACTAGTGAGGAGATGCCACTTGGCCTGTCTGAATACTTTACTTTTGAATCAGATACTACGATGTCTGTGACATGAGGCATGTCACAACTTCCTTGAGACAGGATTACCTCACTCCTTAAACAAAAGAACTGTACCTGGTGATCCCTAAATAAGGTTTTTTAGCCCTGAAGAGAGTTGAAAACCAGTTTTCAACTGGTTTAGTTTAGTTAGGTTTAACAATGTAATCACTCATGTAAAGCCATGAAAACTAGGTTTGGATTTGATGTGGAAGACTTTTAGAACCATCATAGGTTCAAGAGTTATAAAAGCAATGTTTCAGCAAGATTAGTCTTAAAACATTATGTACCCAAGTAGGTTGGATTGTCATCTAGTGGAAGGAGAAAAGGAAGGGCATATCCAGGAAACATTTAAAAAGAGGTCACTGGTTAGGTAGAGCTTGGGGGAGATGGAAGAACCTAAGATGACGCTGTACAATTAGCCTGGAGGAGCAGAGAGATGGCATTGTTCTTAATGGAACAGTTCAAAAGGAGCTCCCCTCCACTACCTCCCTACAAGGGATGGGGAAGGTGAATTTCCATTTTCCAGTATCTTAAGTTTCCAGTGGCGGGATAATCAAACATATCCTACAGGCCTGGCTTGCATGAGTGGCAGTCACAATATGGTTGTATATGTAGGATTTATGAGCATAGAAGTGATATGTAATGAGTTTATTAAGAAAGTAAGGGAAGAAAGAGAAAATGATTGTTGGTTAAAACTAACAGTTAAGCGGGATGGGGTGTGGGGGGAAGAATACTGCTTTGGAAATGAAGGGAGAATTCCAAGCATAAATTTGGGATTAGCAGAGGCCAGCACTATAAAGAATAGTCAAGTAGGTTGAAGGCAAAATCTCTGGCAACTTTTGTGAGCAGTTTCAGTATCCTGTTGGAATGGAAACGCACATGTTATGGAGTTTCAGTTGGAATGAAGAGGGTGTGTAAGGACTGTCAGCATGAGAATGAACCAGAGTGTGTAACAGAATTAAGGCTGTAGGTGTCTGTGTCCTTCAATGTGTTTAATGAGGGAGATTAAGAATGTTTAAAGAAGAATGAAGAAGCTGGTATCAGAGATGAGGAATCATTGTATTATTCCTTATCTACAAAGAGATAAGGAATTGATCCAGAAAACCAGTGAAAGGGGTTGTGTGAAAGAGAAAAGACTTACGCCTGGGAAGAAGATGAGAACTGTATTTGAAGAGACAGTAATAGTACTAGGTTACATTTGTTGAGTTCTTACTGTGTATCATGCATTTTGCTAAGTGCTTTTTATACAGTACTTCACTTTTCATAGTAACTTCCTTTTGAAAATGGGAAAGTTAATATTGTCTTTGCTTGAGGAGTATCTTTGAATGTTTTCAGTATACAGTCAGTAGACTCAGAATTTAGAGGGGGCAAATTAAAGATACAGGCTTAAGGACTATTTGAAAACCTATCAAACTAAATAAATACATGAAAGAACAAGTAATAAAAAGACCTTCTAATAAAAAAAATAAAAAAAAAGAAAACCTATCAAGAACAAATAACTGTATAGTACTTGGCATATGAGACTCCAGACTTCACGCCCATTTAGGGTGCCACCTTTGGCAAGTCATTAGCCTCATATAACCTGTTTTCTCACCTGTTTCATTGGGTCATGAACATTGCATAAGATATTTAGAAAGTGTTCAGTAAGTGTTAAACGTATTTAAAAGGGCACTATTTATGCATTTGTGCAACAGATTATTAGTATAGTTAAAATACTGCCACATCAAAAAATTACAGAATAAAATTTACTACTTAATCAGCTGGCCATTTATTGCACTTAATATTTTAGAGAACAATATTAACAGTTCAACTAAATACTTTTAGGATACTTAATTTAATGGGATTTAACTCCTTGTTGGTATTTCCCAGTTCCCTTGGATCTAATGATTGATCATTCTTACCAGTAGCCCTTGTGTTCTTTCCTGTTTGCTGTCTGGATGGAATCCACCACTTTAGCTTCTCTGTTCTTACCAGGCTTGTAAGTATCACAGCTGGACCTATCGGCTCCACTAGACGTGCCTGGCCACCAGCCTCAGCTGGGCTCTCGGCATCACCCAGCTCTCCCCTCTCCTTGTGCATTCTCCAGGGAAAGCCATCTGTCTCGCCAGCTGTAGGAATCCCAGCGTTATCCTTGGTCTTTGCTCCAGCTCTTCATCAGTCAGCCACCGAGTCTGTTGATTTTACCAATGAGAAAGCTTTACAGTCTCTGCTGCTGCTCCCCAGCGCTGCTTCCTCATCTTGCCTGAACTCTTGCCCTAAATGCAGCAAATGGTTCTTACGGGTCTTCTGACCCCATTCTTGCTCCTCTTCCAGTTAACTGTCTACGGGACTATAACCAGAGTGATCTTTTTAAAAGAAATTGGGCTGGCATTCTTCTGTTAAAACTCGACTTTGATTTACTCTTGTCCCCAAGGCACTGCTTGACCTAGCCACTACTTAGCTCATTCCAGGCCACCAGGACTGTGCCTCAGTTTCCTTTGCCTGGAACATTCTTGTCCTGTCTTTGTCTGCCTGATTGCTGTTCCTCTTTCAGTCTCGGTGTAAATGTCATCTTCTTAAGATGCCCTTCCTTGATTGAGGTCCCTTATGGAGTCAGCTGCAAAAGTGTATCATAAAACATCTTTGTTTTCCTTAGCATTGGGCGCTAGCAATTAGTTAATGATTTATAATTATTTAATAGCTATATATAACATTTACTGGGTACTCTTATTGTACTATGCTCATCCCACTTGCCAGTTATTAGCAGGGAATTCAAATCAGATGATCTGATTCCAGAGCCTGTGCCTTGGAAATGCTAATGGGCTGCGCTCCCCACCCCTTCCCCTTGCCCCCAGTTTATGTAATATTTGTCTTCTCTACAAGACAGGACAGAGACCTTGTCTTTGTTATTGATCTGTGAGGTCGTCAGCACACGGTACAGACCTGATAAATACTAGGTGCTTACTTGGTAAATATTTATTCACTGACTGACTTATGCTGTACAAACTATTTTGAAATTTTGATAGGAAGTTTTAGAACTGGAAAAAACTTTTGGGATGTATCTAGCAAGTTACCCCCCTCATTTTTTATATGTATAAGTAAGAGAATAGCTAGCATATTATAGGCATCAAAGAAGAGGCTAATATGTGGAATTTTCGAGCCTTGGGGATTCCAAGATGGAACACTAATTTCTGGCTTACAGAATAGGGAATAGGGTAAATCATATTCAGGAAGATGGATGAACGCTGGGATTAAAGTTATCAGGCAGGATTTTAATGGTAGAAAAATAGAGGAGAGAAAGACAGGAGTGGTGAAGTGACAGAAAAGCTAAGGCTTGCAGAACCAAAGCCACGCACAGCTAAGCGGCTGACGTGTGGCTCATCTTCAAAGGAGGGACAGTGAGACCTGACGTCTCCTAAGTACACTGTGTGCCAAGGTCCATCCTCAGCAGGCTTCTGTTCTTTTTGTAATTCTAACAACTCTGTGAAATACTTGTAGGAATATTTTTTAGAAGACTGAGGTTTAGAAGCTAATGCTATTAGTTCCAGTGATAATCTTGCTGCTAATTCCAGTTCAGGACAAGATAATGTGACTTAAACTTCTTGACTTTAATACTTTTTTACATTGTATTTGAAAATTAATTAATCTCCTAGACCATCATTATTTCAACAGTCTTGCTCATCAGCTAATTAAAAAACCCAGGCTATCTTGTAGACATTGATTTAGCAAAAGATTTGTTACTGCTTCATCCCCCCACCTTCCTAAAAAAACAAACTGGATTTGTTTCCAGTTGTACACTCTTAAACAACCACTTTGATCCTGTCTCTGGTACCCTGATCTCCCCTCAGTTCAGTTCAGTCGCTCAGTCGTGTCCGACTCTTTGCAACCCCATGAATCGCAGCACGCCAGGCCTCCCTGTCCATCACAAACTCCCAGAGTTTACTCAAACTCATGCCCATCAAGTTGGTGATGCCATCCAGCCATCTCATCCTCTGTCATCCCCTTCTCCTCCTGCCCCCAGTCCCTCCCATCATCAGGGTCTTTTCCAATGATCTCCCCTAGGGCATTGTAAAAACCAGTCAATTCACAGCTATCCTAATTGAACTTTTTCATGAGTAATAAATCCATCATCATAACTATTAAAGGCTATTCTCCTAGTATCTTTTTAGCACTTTAGGATCAAAATAGCATTTTATATTTGGGTAATATTTCAGGCATATATTAGCTGTTTTAAGATGGGGAAGGTGAAATTATTTCCATTTTATATAGAAATACATTTAACGGGTAAGGATGCTTGTTTTTGGGGATCAGTGAGAGTCTCAACCCAAGCTCACTGACCGTTGTTTACCTCCTCTTAGAGGGCACTAAGAAGCATCATAAATAGGTACCCTGCACTTCTACAAATTATTAAAAGTAGCTGAATTCTTTTCTCTGCCCCTCATCAGATGCATCAAATGCCATGTTGTTGAAGGCTTGGAAACTAGCCTGGTGTTTTAGTAGTATTTAATAGATAAAAATCCAACAGAGATGGAAAAGAGGTATTGCATAAGGGCTCGAATATTGCAGTTAATAACATCAAGTTTGTGCTAGGTCATGGACCTTGATAAACATTTAGGAATTTTTTATTCAGATAATACATTCAAAAAATTTCTACCCACAAATAGCCAGTCCCTTATTGTTTTCAATAGTATTATTTGCAAAGCAGAAAGACTTCCAGGATTTGCCATGTTGGAATAGAGACAGTTCAGGGCTTATGGTTTTCATTTTTTTTTTTTTTTCCAGATTCTCCTTCTTTTACTTCTGAGCAAAGTTAAGCAGGGTTCTTTTTTATTTTGTCTTGTTTGAACGTTTTATTTTGAACTGGGATGTAGCCAGTCAAGTGTTGTGGTAGTTTCAGGTGAGCAGCAGAGGGACTCAGCTGTGCGTATAAATAAGCAGGGTTCTTTTAGCTTTATTTTGCTACACTGCATGGCTTGACGAATCTCAGTTCCCTGACCAGGGACTGAACCAGGGCCATAGCAGTGAAAGCGCTAAATCCTAACCACTAGACCACCAGGGAACTCCCAGGGTTCTTTTAAATACTCATTTTAACACTCATTTTTGTCTGTGGTTGTAACACTTTCATATTTTTATATGCAGATCTCCAATCTCCCCGACCCCTCTTTTTGTTTTTCTCTGTACAAGTCAAAAGTCGGGAGTAGGGGTGGGGGTGGAGAAAATTAACCTTTCAGTTAGAGGTGATGAGCTTGTTCAAAATGTGGGTGTGCTTTTGGGCTGCATGGGCACAGAATTGTGCAAGGAATCCATGTTTCTTATACCAGACAATAGTTTAAGCCAGGGCATTGTCTCTGTGGAACTTCTGAGATAGCAAAGAAAGTCTGCAGCAAGAGCAAAGATGCTTGTGTAGGAGTATGCCTGGCTTTAGCAGGAGAGCTGAACATGCTGGATATAGGTGACTTCCAGGCGACTTACTGACAAGCTGATTGTGGCTCTTGTTATTCCAGGGATAAATTAGGTTGTAAGTCAGGCTTGCCTGTATGGTATTTGAGGATTATGCAATTGAAAAGAAAGACGTGTGTTTTAGATTCATTTCCTTGTAGGCTTATCACTTACGGAGGGTAGGTAGGAGAATCTTGAATCATTGGCAAATTATTAAAACATCTCCAAAACAAGAAGTGGAAATGTTTTCTTTTAGTAAACATTTTAGTAAATGTTTCTTTTAGTAAACATTCCATAGCTTAGAGCTATGGAAAATGTAACTGACTCATCCTATAACAGTTTATGAGCACTGAATCTATTAATGTAGTTTTTCAGACAAGTTTTGTTGAAGATTATTGAAAAGCTTTTTTTCCTTGTAGATGGATGGTGACAGTTCTACCACAGATGCTTCTCAACTAGGGATTTCTGCAGACTATATTGGAGGGAGTCATTATGTTATACAGCCTCATGATGGTAAGAAAGCCACAATTAGAAACACATTCACAAGTAGGAAAAAATGAGAAAGTGGAAATTTTGTTGATGTGATGTTCTAGGTTACTTTTGTCTTTACAGGAAAATTTGAAATCTTTTGTCACAGCTGAGTGTTCGTCTAAGAGATGTACTTGCCTATTTTTATTAGAAATTAGTTTTCAAAAGAATGATGGGTTTTAGAAAAGAATTTTGTAAATGCATGCCTTTTTAAAGCTGGTACAGTTTCTTTATAATTTGTTACTGATTCCCTACTTAAGTATTATATATGGAAAATTCTTATTCAATTGGTAGAATAAACTAGTTCTTTAGTGGGTGGGTGCTAGCTGTTATATTTCCAGTACTTATGAACAGATGTAGTTTTATTTTTTATTCAATATCAAGTATTAACTTTGTATTAGAATGGCAGCATTATGTTGGCCTGTCAGAAATAATTTGCTTTTGTGCTTTGATGAGTAGAATTAAAAAATACTAAGATGAAGGTAGTTGAGGGTGGGTAATTGATTATTTACTTCATTTTTAAACAATTCAAACAAGTTAATTTTGATAACATCATTTTAAACACATAAAAATATAAACTGAATCAACTTAAGTACCTTTCTTATGTAACATATATAAAAGAATGGGAAGTTTACTTTCAGGATACTGCATTTAATCATAAAAGGATACTTGTACTGTGAACGCTTCAGTTATATCTAAATCTATATAATTTGAAAATTTACTTTTTGTAAGAACATTACCGCTATAGCTTTGTTCAAAAAAACATTACTACCTTAGTAATACTGCAATTGGGTCAGTAATATTCAAGTCCAGTTTTTTCTGTTCTATGTAAACTTGGCTTTGAATAAACATACATCCTCTTAATCTAGCTATATGCATGGAGCCATAGGTCAGTCTCTTATGTTTTATAGCTAAGTTATGTAACAAATATTTATTTGTTCAACAACCTGCTCTGTTGAAGCTGCTATACCAAATGGAAGAACATAAAGCTGATCCCTGGCCTCAGCCAAAAGCTAAGAGGAGAATGAGAAATAAGAATTACAAAATGTGTTAAAGAAGAGACAAAGAAGCACATGTGATATTTTGTGAAAGAGAAATCGCTTCTGAAAGTGCAGGAGAGACGTATTTGAGCTTTTGGGAGAGTTAGTAGGCAGAGTTGAGGATAAAAGTATTCTAGGCAGTGGATTTGAAATTAATGAGGATATTCAGTTATGGCCCTGGGAAACTTAAGTAAAGACCTGCCATTTTAATCCTGAAAAATTATTAGGAGATGAATCAGAATGTCACTTATCCTAGATTGTTTCAGGTAGTCTTCTCTATCTTAAAGTAAAAATTATGAGAACCTATAAACCTGTTGTTTTCCTTTAGATACTGAGGACAGCATGAATGATCATGAAGACACGAACGGTTCAAAAGAAAGTTTTAGAGAACAAGATATATACCTTCCAATTGCAAACGTTGCAAGGATAATGAAAAATGCCATACCGCAAACGGGAAAGGTAATGCAGAGGAGAGATTTAAATAAGTTTTATTTTTCAGGGGTGAAGAGGGGGAAAGTAAAACCACATGTACACATAGTGCATGAATGTAGTTAGCTACTGATTTCAGTCATTCAGCCTTTCAGCAGAATACTTAGTTCAGTGGCACACACTTGGTTACTGAGCAGTGTTCCAATCTCAGTTCTCTTATATCCCCCAAAGCTCCCCTACCCCACTTGCTGGAAGGAGATAAAACAGAATTAAGAATTGTTTTAAAAATAGGTACATTGCTTGGGGCCTGTGAAGTTGTAACTTCTAAAATGTTGTATCAGAACTGGATCATGTTGGACTAATGGATATTCCACCCAAGTCTATATATCTGGAAACTCTGTCTGTAATTGTAAATGTTAATATACATTTAAATTCAGCTGGCATGATATTTTTACATTTTTATTTATTTTTGATCATGCCCCATGGCATGTGAGATCTTAGTTCCCCACCAGGGTTTGAACTCATGTCCCCTGTGGTAGAAGCCTAGAGTCTGAACCACTGGACCACCAGGGAAGTCCTTGGCATGATGTTTCTAAGTTGTTTTGTCTCATAGAGAAACAACCATATAAATAGTTAACCTATAACAGCTTTAAAAACTTATTGTCACTCTGCTTATCACTTGGTCTGAAGTCCACACTTTTTATATTGTTTTACGTTGCATAATAAGTTCCCTCTCATTTTATTATAGCTTAGAAAATACTTATGAAAGTAATAAAGCTAACAAGGAAGTATATTATTAAAATATATCATTAAGCCTAGATGTTGCAGTTTGAACGGTCCTCCTGTGTTAGGGGGAAGAGGCACACTGCTGCTCACTGCTGTCTGGGCAGGCCTGCGCCGCCGGCTGTGGCGGCCACTAGCTGCCTGTGGTCACTGAGCACTTGAAATGTTGGCTGGTCTGACTTGAGATGTGCTGTAAATATAAAACATGCCCCAGATTTGGAGGGCATAGTTTGAAAAAAAAGGATAAAGATATCTCAATTTTTAAAATGTTTTTTATTGAGGTATACTTCAACTTTTAAATGGATTCTATGTTTAAATGATAATATTTTGGATTTATTAGTTTAAACAAAATATATTAAAATTAATTTCATCTTTTTTTTTTTTAGTGTAGCTGCTAGAAAATCTAAAGTCCTGTATACAGCTCACATTATATTATCTTGCTTGACTGCATTTATGCAGTAACTCTTGTTACTTTTCTCCAGGATGTAAAATAGGCATGGAGGTGAAAGTGTGTTTCAGCAAGGATTTGGTCATTCCTGTTAGACGTGACTTTGGAATTGCATGGTTTACTCTGTTACAGTTTCACTTTGAAACCCTAGATCATTGAGTGAAGAATTGTTTTTATAATGGGATGACAGGTGTGTGCTTCTTTTGGTAGGCTTTTTCATAAACTCAAAACCCATTCCTGACAAAGTGTGTCTTTATTAATAAAAATGTCACTCGATGTCATTATTTCACTCCCTTGTAAGCCTTACACAAACTTATTTGTTTTTAAAAACTTTCTGGTGTCCTCACTGGTGGAAGTGCCAGGGCAGAGAAGCGGGACTTGAGTCTAGCCCACAATACACTCCAGACATAAGAGGATTGATTTTCTTGGGCACTTGGTTAGTAAGAATTTTCATCTTTATTGGGTAATAGAGTCATCTAGTGGTTGCTTTTATACCTAAATTCTGTTTTCTGTGAATAGCTGTCAAAGCCTCTCTCCTTGTATTTGAGTTTTCAGTCTCACTCTGGGGGTTTGAATTTTGATAGCATACATTATTCAGTGTTATCAGCAGATATTTTTAAATATTAAAGGTTAACAGTCATTAACTGAAATTTATATTCTTCTAAATAGCCTTTTATTTTTTTCAGTTTGTTAGGAAAGTGGTGATTATATTCCCTGCAGATTTACCTTCGATTTTTCTCCTCAGATTGCAAAAGATGCCAAAGAATGTGTTCAAGAATGTGTAAGCGAGTTCATCAGCTTTATAACATCTGAAGCAAGTGAAAGATGCCATCAAGAGAAACGGAAGACAATCAATGGAGAAGATATTCTTTTTGCCATGTCTACCTTAGGCTTCGACAGTTATGTAGAACCTTTGAAATTATACCTTCAAAAGTTCAGAGAGGTAAGTGTCTCCCATTATGCTTTTAAGAAAATAAGGTACACTATTTGCTTTAACTTTTTAAACATATGAATCATTTCTCAGAAGTATGTAATCACTTATATTACTGAACTTAAATAGTAAGTCCTTTCTTCTTCCCTTTGTTTATTACTAATGGCAGCATAGTTATGTAATGACTAAAAGAGCATGGACTCTGGATTTACACCACCTGGATGCTGAACTCCGTGACCCTGGGCAGACTATTTAAGTACTTTAGGCCTTGGTTTCCTGATCTGTAAAGTGAGGCTAATAATAGGACCTACCTCACAGAGTTACTGAGAAGATAAAGTAAAACAATCCATGTACAACCCTTGGCCTAGCACATACTGAGTGGTCAATAATGTCATTAATCGCACATGCTGTTGTTACTAATTTAAAAGAGGTGGTATCTCAGAGCTTGGGGCCGCTTCGATAAAAAGATAGGGAACTACAACTATATCCTTTTCTTACATTAATTAAATTTTTCTACATCTCGTTTGGTTTTTCTTTGCCTATGATATGAATTTGTGAAAATGAATTAAGATCAGCATACTTTTAAATTCTATTCTCTAACTTGGGTGTCAGATTCATACTACTTTCAAAATATTTCTTAATGTCTTCAGTGTTAGAATCCCATTAACTTTGTGATATCTGTACAAAATGACTGGAGTAGGAAGAGAATATGTTAATTCTTTACAGGACTTTTCCAGATCTTCAGCATCATTAGATTACTAGAACCTGAGTGTTGACAGACATTGAAGCGGTCTTTGATCCAAACTGTAGTCCTGATTTAGGAATTTTAAACTCCCAACTGTCTGCCTCAGTGCTGCCCAGTTGGCCAAGAGATGTGTATATAGTTAAATGATACTGGGATCATTTTGTAGTAGATTTGCAAGCTGAGTATTTATAATATTTTGCAGACTACTTCATCTGTAATTAGACTTTTCTTTTCCTTTTGACATAGTGTCGAATTAGAATAACTTTTTACTTATAAATATTTTACATTTTATAGGTCATTACTGTCTTGTGATGACCACTGCATATATAACAGTTAGCATTTTGAAGGACCTCCCCGTATGTTATTAACCAGAAGTGTTAATAGTTTTATAGTAATAGGAGCCTCTAATTCTAGGAACGAAGCAAGCATTCTCATTTAGGAAGCAGGTTTTTGTCGCTGCTGCTGCTGTTTTGAGTGCCAGTGATGACTGTTTCGTTTCCTTCCCCAGGCTATGAAAGGAGAGAAGGGGATCGGTGGAGCAGTCACAGCTACAGATGGACTAAGCGAGGAGCTCACAGAGGAGGCGTTTAGTAAGCGGTGTTACCATACATTTGTGCAGCTCAGTTGTTGGCAGTGATTAGCAGGATATGTCTTTAGTGGAACTTTTGGAATATTAGCACTGTGTGTTTTGACATAGCACTGTTTTGAATAGCTCTTACTAGTTCGTGCCCTTATATTTGAAGTCTGTGAGGGATAAGTGTATAAATTTTAATTCTGCAGAGATTATAATCTTTTACCAATAGTTCTGATTTCCATAGTCCCTAATTTATTATTTAAGATTCATGAGATAGGAATATTGAGAATTGTTTATAATATTAAATCTTGTGATTTAAATAAATTTGAACTGAAGGTTTCTTAAAAATTGAGACATTAGGCATTTGTGAAATAAAAGGTCTATGGTGACTATATTTCTCATATAAAATTTATATGTATATATTTTATATTTCTCATATTTAAAATACATCTGCTTAGTTATGTAAGTGTTGTTCTCAGCCAAGCCTAAGCCTAGAGTTTAGGTGTATTTATGAATCAGAAACTTAACCCATCTTTTATGCACATGGGCAGTTAGCGAAAGTACACTTCAGAAAATTGAAAAAATGCTATAGGAAAAAATGTGCTTTTGGGGAAACTTTTTTTAAATGGAAAATCACCCAGCCTTAAGATTCAGGTCAAGAAAGCAGATGCACTTCTTTACCTACTTGAGCATTTGTTTGTTTGTTTGTCTTCTAGCTAACCAGTTACCAGCTGGCTTAATAACTGCAGATGGTCAGCAACAAAATGTTATGGTTTACACAACATCATATCAACAGGTACCGTACTTTCTCTGTATTTTAAATTACTTAAATTATATTCATTGATTTTTTTTTTTTTTTAATCACAGGTAGTTAACGTCAACATAATTATTAAGAACTGGATAAAGAGGGTTGTTAAAAATTGTTTTCTCAAAATATATAACTGTGTATAGTATTCTCTTATGGTTACAGATATGTACACAGATGTTCATTTAGCCTGTCCTTCATATCCACGGGTTCCACACCATGGATTCAACCAGCTGTGGATCATATGCCGTCTCCAGTCCGTCATTGCTTGAATCCGCAGATGGAATTTGCAGGTGCAGAACCCATGGATACTGAAAGCTGACTAAAGGACTTGAGCATCTGTGCGTTTTGGCATCCACAGGGCATTCTGGAACCAGTCCACTGTGGATATTGAGGGAATGTGTGTATTCACATAGATTTCTGTAAAGATATACAAGAGATTATTGAAGTAGCTCCCTTAAGTAGAGAGAATGGAAATTTGGGGTGGGAACTAGTCTTACGTTTCATTGCCTTCTGTTTTTATTCTTTGAATGTTATAGTATACATGCTACTTTTAAACTTTTTTCTTTAATTATGCCCAATTTAAATGTTCAAATCTTAGATTTCTGGCGTTCAACAAATTCAGTTTTCATGATCTGAAGAAATGATGGAACGGAGAGTATAGAGAACCAAGTCTGTATACAGATTCTGGAACAGAGACATTAGAAGGAACTGACTGGTGAAAAGATGTCTCTTTGTATATTAAATAGCTGTAATGTAGCTTCCCAATGCTTGACTAATTGAGGTGTTAATCCTGACTTGAGAATCTTTTTCATGAATGATTTTAAAGAAAAATTTGGATTTTAAAGGTATTAAAATATTTTTGTTTTGTACGAGAGTTTGTTGCTCTGTATGACTCCTGTATGCATTGTATATTGCAATTTATTACTGTCAGAGATTTGTAGACAGTTTCTTATTTTCATATTGAATCATGTTACTTTTGTAATTCAAGTAAGCAGCTGGGTTAATTCATGATGTTTGCCCTTTTAATAAAATATAAGGGTAGAGTTCATTTTGAATGCAAGTTGCCTTTATTATAAATTTGAGTTTGTCTTGGTTATATAATATCTTGCATGATAACCTAGCTAGATTTTTAGCATTTGCCCTATTTATTAAAAATTAACTTTTTTTGTAAAACATTCATAGCTTAAACAGTACCTTTTTTTTTAGAAGTAATTGAGAGATTAAGTGTGAATGCAGAAGCAAATATTGTCTGCCCTATTCAACTTGGTGCCCATTAACAGTGTTTACACTGTTCCTTGTGCCTGGTAAGATAGTTTTAGTTTATCGGAGCTTTTGGTAAGACAAGATTTGTTTCCAAGTTACATTATTATGAGTGTTGGGATTCATAAGTTTACTGTAGTCCTAGTGCTCTTGAAACGGTGCCCCTTTCATTTTGTGTATGATTTTTCCAAAGCGTATCTTCAAATACTACATAATACCCTCTTCCAGAAGAGGAATTTTAGTCTGATGGTAAATGTCCTCATTTTACCTTTTTAATTGAAATGTCAAGTTTCCTGTTATACTGTGGGAACCAAGAAATGTCAGACATCATTGTGTGTGTACAGACCTTTTTTGCACGGGTGAGTGAATGAAATGAAGAGCAGAGTGAGTGCTGCCAATGGTATGAAAGAGAAGCTGCCAACTTCTAGTGTGCTGTCTTGATCTTTGCAATAAACTAAATTTAGATAATGTAACTTTGTATAATTTAATAGCACTGCACTTGGGTTGTTGCTTTTTTAAAGTGAGGAGATTTGTATTTTCTCACCTGTTCTTTTTGGTGATAATTTTTTAATCAACAATTGCTCTTGTATAGTTTGCCTAAAAGACACTTTGAGTGACTGTCATCTTGGAAAGACACTCAGATTTACAAGGGAGAAGCAATTTCCCAGATATGGGCTGGAGAGAAACATTTTCTTTGCCAGAAGGAGCTTCTGAGGGCACAGCTGGGATAATCTGAAGTTAATAACTCCCTCTTTACCTTCCCATTTAAAGAATAATCTTCATTACAGAAAATTCAAATAGGCAAAAAAGTGTGGCTAAGCAAAATCAACCATCATCCTACAATGTTAAAAGTAACCAGTGTTAATATTTTGGTAAATATTTGTCCTTTTACTTTGCTAAATATGTATATTTTTATAAAATGGGCTCATACTTGCATACTGTTTTGTAACATGCTTTTTTCACTTAACAATATATTGTGAACATCTTTCCCAGGTCATTACGTAAATCTTCTACTTTAATTTCTTTATTATTCTGTTGTATAGCTGAAACATAATTTATTTAATCTTCTGTTGGACATTTTGACTATATACATCTTTTCAGTTATAAACAACACTTCACTGAATCTTGTGTACATCCATGACTGTTTTCTTCAAGTTAATTCTTTTAGCAGAATTGTTGGTTTAATAGATATGCAAAATTAAGGCTTTTGATGCATATATAATTGTATTTTTGAAATATCTTCTATTTGATCCAGGCAGTATGTCATTATATAACTGATAAAAGCACTTGATCTTTGGTTATCAGCTTCCTTCTCTAAAGTTTAAAGATTGGGCTGTTTAAGAATCAAGATAAAAAAGGAATTAAACAACTTTAAAATTTACATCAATATATACCAAATTTAATAATTCTAAATTTAATATTCTAAATTTAATAATTCACTATTAGTACCGAAACTTGAAGAGGTAAAATTGGTCAACTTTGGGTTATATGGGCTTCAGACTCTGAAAGAACGTTGGCCATCTACATGTGTCAGGTCCATAGTCCCCTCTGCTGCATGTGAGAGACAGTATTGCCTGCTCATCTGGCTATGTTGCATGTAATTGAATGTCATGTTTTCTCCCTCCCTGGAACTTCTGAAGTATATAATAAGCTCCTTCTCCAGGGGATTTTCCCAACCCAGTGACTGAACCCCAGTCTCCTGCACTGCAGGCAGATTCTTTACTGCCTGAACCACCAGGGGAGCCCACAGAAGCTCTTCCATTAACCTAAGTAAGTGTGTACATACTGCTTTATGAGTGTCTGAGAGACATGGGTATCATGACTTAGTCATAGAAGAAAAGACTTAAGTAGCTTCTATATACCCTCACTACCTCACAATGGAGATGCTCTGGAGTTTTTTTTAATGCTACCTTCCTAGTGTCATATGCTTGGGTATGATGATGTTTTAAGTTATTTGTATTTCTTTTCCTCTTACTGTATACTGCCTATGCAGTATTTTCCTTTCTTCAAGTTTTCTGGATTGCCTTACTGGGTCACAGGAATACCACTTAACCTTTAATAATGCTAACTGAACACACCTATTATGAAGGCCCATCTAAAAGGATTTCACAGCAGTATCAAATAGGCATGAAAATTTTTTAAAAAGTGTTTTTAAATAGTTTCTACCATTCACCAAGAATGAAATCTTACAGTGTAAAATTTTCTTGGAAAATATATTTTCTCTTAGGGAAACCTGTTATCAGCTGTCTAAAACAAGACAATTATTTGTTGATTTATGTAGTAAATTATGCTTCTGAGTCACTTAAATGTTATTGGATGAGATTTCTACCAAAAGCCTAGTCTATTTTACTGAAAAAAAAATTTTTTTTAATTTATTTTATTTTTGGCCACACACACGGCTTGCAGGATCTTAGTTTCCCAACCAGGCCCCCCTGGCAGTGAAAGCACCAAGTCCTAAACACTGCCAGGGAATTCCCAAAGCCAGTCAATTTTAAATGTATATTTTTGGTCTCTCTGAATTTGACTATTTATATATTAGTTTATGTAATAATTTACATATACATATATAGCATTAAACTTATAAGTCATACAGTGTGCTCTTGAGTAAAAAATAGAACTCTACTTTGTTTCTCAAAGGGCTGTACTATACTGTCTAAAAAATACTCAGTTTTAATTGACGCTTTCTTTCAGAGCTGGAAATGTTACTTTGCTTAATTTCACCAAGCTGAGCTTCCTCTTGCCTCATTCTCTTCTGCCATTCTGGCCCGCTGACTCCTTGTGCCCTGTTCCTTGATCCTTCCCACCACCCTGCCATGGCTTTAAATACATCAACTTCCCTCTGTCTAGAACATTCTTTCTCTTCCTCTGCCTAAGGCCTACTCATCCTTCAGATCTTAGTTTAAACTTCATCAGGAAAGCCTTTAAAACTTTTGTAAAAACTGTACTAATCATCACAGAAAATAGCACCACCCAAGACTGGATTGTAATAGCCGATATGCTGGCTGCTATAGACTCCTGAATGTTTCTTTCAAGACTATGCTGCTTTATATACCTGATTTTAAGAATTTTAAAACCAGAAGACAGAATCCTTTCAAATCATGGACCACAGACGGCACTAGGATAGATTCATATCGCTGGCTTCTGGGTGTCACATTTTGAGATATAAGCTTGCCTATTAATATAGTTACAGCTTTCCCTGACCTTACTCCAAAGACAGTTTCCTTTTGCACTGCATATCAAATAGGCACCAGTGCAAGGCAGTGTACTGGAAGAACTCCTTTGCCAAGTTTAATGCCACCAAGCATGCCAAATAAAGTCAGTCAAGTAAGTGCTGGGTGTGTCTATAGAGACCTAATGGCTATGTATTGGTTTTAGGGGCAGAAATTACAAGTTAATAGGTAATGCTCCATCTTCCAAAAAAAATAAAATAGATTAAAAAAACTCTGACACTACAGCATAAGTTTTTGCCTCTTTTAAAAAGGCATAATTTAGGTCTTCCTTTAGTGTACCCTTAAGTGCAAATGGTAACAATTTTGTGTCTGACTTTTACACCTCTTTTCCAGGGCTCAATTTCAAAGCACATCTGAAAAGACAGTCCTGAACCTTTAAGCATTGGGTAATCGGTGGCTCAGTGGTAAAGAATCCGCATGCCAAGAAGGAAATGCAGATTTGATCCCTGGGTCGGAAAGATCCCCTGGAGAAGGAAATGGAAATCCATTCCAGTATTCTTGCCTAGGAAATCCCATGTACAGAGAAGCCTCCTGGGCTATAGTCCAGAGGGTCACAAAAAGAATTGGATACACCTTAGCTACTAAACAATAAATTGGTTGAAAACAAGTTGCTAGGAACAGACAAGTCATAACAGATAGTGCCTTTCAGCCAGGACAGGTATGTCAAAGGCCCATTCATGCATATATAATGCCCATTATTAGTTTTATAAGAAACCGAATCCTTTTTTCCAGACCAAAGCAATCACTAATCAACAAAAGTAATATTGGGGCTAATAGCCATTTAAGGAACTGGCAGAGCCATTCTTTTTTTTTTTTTTCCAGAGCCATTCTTTACTGTGGAGGTAGAGTATGACTAAAACAATAGTTTTCTATACAATTCTATACCATAAAAGTGCTATCTCACAGGACAGTACAATGGAGAGAACAAAGCATCCTGTAGTTCTGAATAGACTACAACCTATTATATTTCCTACTTATATTACAGCAAAGGAAAGCAAATTTTAATTTCTACTTCCTTTCTGAGAGTAAGGCAGTCTAGATACCTTCAATAACCCCTGCTTTAAAAAACCAAATGCTGAAAAAAATGTAAGAAACAATCTAAAGTAGTATTAAATAATATATTTTTAAAAAATGTTTTATCACTGACTTGGCATGAAAGTAGAAGGCATCTGCAAAATGCCAAAACTGAAGTGCAAACAGGAAACCTGTAAGGGAAGCTAGCACAGAAGCCCGCCGTTGCCATGATAGCTCTGTTGAACTCTGGAGACTGGAAGCTAGCAGTAGCTAGGGGACTAGCTGTAAAGCCTGAGGCTCACTCAGGCCAGAATCTGGCTGAGCTACAACTTGAGAAGTGGGCAGGAGGAACCTGGCTGTTTGGTGCTGGTGGCAGGGGGCTAAGTCACTACCACCCTCCAATTCATCATCACTGGTGAGCCCTCAAGGTCTGTGAGCTGAAATCACAGAACCTTCAAGGCCATAATTGAAATTGGTCTCAGTGGCCCCTAGGTGTTTGGCAGAACAGACAAATTCTCTTGAAGATCTCAATTTCAGTCCATATTTCTTGTAATTCCTATTTTTCCCAAGGAAAACAAGTTTCGGATATCACAAAACAAGGGTAAATGGCACCATAGATGAAAAATGACAATTTATACAACAGACAGTACACTCACCCACAATG